TTATTTATTTATTTATTTTTTTTCCCCCTTACACTCCCGTTCTCCGTTTGACATTTGGGGTCAGGGGGCAGGGAGGGAGGGTAGGCTGCCTGATTGGGGTCTGGGCTGTGGGTGGGCTTTGGGCCTTGGGGAGCGGTTGGGGGCAGGGCCGGAGCTCCGGTTTTCCCTGGGTTGTTTGGATTTTTTTGATCAAGGTTCCTGGTTGCGATGTCCCGCCCTTTGGCTGGGGTGGCTGCCAGGTTCCAGAGGGGTGTCAGCTGTGGTTGTGTGTGTGTGGTCATTGGTGGTGTATGGCAGCGGTTGGGGGCGTGGCTTCACTTTGTCGGGGCGCTGGCTGGTCGGCCTGGTGTGACATTCGCGGTGGGGGTGCTATGTGTATGTGGGGGGGTGTAGGTGGCGTACCGGGGCTTCTCCGGGCCTGTGGTGCGGAGCTCTTGAGATGTCTGGTCCTTGGTGCACTGGGCCAGCCTTCCTCGGCTGCTGCTCCTTGCTGCTCTGGCTCCTGGCCTGGGGCCGGCTTGCGGTCAATGTCGGGTGGGTAGGGTGCATGGATGGCCCGACAGAGGCTCTGTCGGGCTGTCTGTGTGTGATTGTTTATGTCTCGGGTTGGGTTTTGGATGGTCCCCTTTCTTGGATCAATTTGGGCCCCCCATTTAATGTGGGATCTACTTCCCCCTGTCGCTCTCCAATCAGGTGGTGGGCCACCCTGCCGCCGGTGCATTGGCGGCTCTCAGCATCTGGGGCTGGGTGATTGGGTGTGTGCGGTTGTCCCTGTTGGGGGACTCCCAGAGCTCCGGGCTTGGGGGCCGCTGTGTATCTGTGGTTCCAGTCTTCCCTGTGTTACCATTGTGTCCTGTGGGGATGGGTCCCCACATGCACTATTGAACATTTTTATGAAGAACCCGTATAAATGGACTGTAAATGGACTGTACTTATATAGCGCCTTTCTATCTTAATAGAGATACTCAACGCGCTTTACACTACAATCTGTGTCCTCATTTACCCATTCATACAGCACTCTACAAGATCTCTACAAAGCTAATTGAACATCTCATTCTAATGAGACTAATCAGTGCTTTGGATCACATTCATACATCGATGGGACACACATCGGAGGCAACAAGGGGTTCAGTGTCTTGCCCAGGGACACTTAAGTATGTGACTGCTGGTGAATTCGAACCCCCAACTCCTGCATTGGAGGACGACTGCTCTAACCACTCAGCCACAGTCGCCCACAGTGACAAGTATGCTCACACGTGTTTAGATTCAGGTGTTTATCAGATACACTCAATTGGGTTGTGGTGGCCACTAATACATCTTGTACTACCATGTACCAAATAAAATACTTTCTAATGATGTTATAAGTATTATTATATATGTTGTTTGTTGTTGTGGTTTCTCGGTTTTGTCTTTTTTTTCTTTCCGCAGGTCTAGAGGCAGACTTCAATCATGTTGGTTTGTGTTCTCTTTATACCTCTCTCTCCCCTCTACTCCTTTCTCCTTCTTTCCCTTTTAACCCTTCTCCCACTTTTCTACTTCGTTTTCTTTTTTGTTTTTTCATCCCAGAGTCCATTACATCTGAAACAAACCCAAAGCTAATTCTAAAAAAGTTTTATTTATATATCAAGTGGAGCAGTAAGTCCAACCAGAATGCTCTGCTTGTGAAAGTAAATATGTTGGGCCTCAGCTTGACATTCAGACAATAATTATGAGTGCCACAATGCCGGGCAGGACAAGGGGAAAAAAGACAACCTACTGATGCCACGTAACACCAGCCTGTCTTCCACTGGCCCACCTTCCACCCCTGGGGGCACTGGTGGTGCTCAGCTGCTGCTGGTGGTCACCACACCAGTGTCACAACTGCTCCTTGGAACAGGGACAACTTTCACTGTCAACCTAAGTCCTGCCAACACCCGAGGTTTAAAACTGAATTTCCACTGCCAGATAGACTGGACTCACCAGCACTCAGGATCTTTACTCACAATCAGCAGCATGCCGAGTACTACCAGGACCCTGCATGTAGGTACCAAAGAATCAGAGCAGTTATTAGGCAGGTACCTGAGGAAATTCAGCTCTCTCTTCTTTTCAACAGGAACATCTTCTCCAGGCTGACGGGCAAACAGAGGATTGTTTTCCAGCATCTTAAACACTTGTTGCTGCAGCAGAAATAGAACACAAAACATTTAAATCAGAACATAGAAGATTCAAAATCATTTACAAAGACCAGCTACCTGAGGGTAGAACTGAGAACCTGACAAACCTTAAACTGGTGTAGTTCCTTTCCATCTATGAACAGAACCATGTCCTTCCAGTTGAAAGAGGACTCTTTCCTGTAGAAATCGAGTGGACCACTGGGGAGGTCAGCCACTACACTGTCCATTTTCTGCTCAGGCTGGAGGGCTTCAGGATGTTCTGTCAGAACAGATCATTCATCAAACTAACTTCATCGCCGGGACTAAAATGTCCTCTACATCCTGTCTGCACAGGATGGTGGTTGACAAGGTCATGGACAGTCTGAAGAGACACAGGGACAAGATGAGTTCATGGACAGTCAGAAGAGACATCGGGACAACGGATGTCAGCCTTAATGACTAAGATGCTCGGTAAAGACCATTAATTTTCTGCTTTTGAACACAGACAAGACTGAGGTTTTGGTTTTAGGACCTGAGCATCTTAAGAATACATTTTTCAGTTTTTCGCCATCCTTGGATGGCATTAATCTGGCCTCCAGAGCTAATGTTAGAAATCTTGGTGTGATCTTTGAACAGTCTTAGTCCTCTTGTTTGTCTGAACTGCTTCACTTTTACATGACATCACATGCTCTTAGATCCTCTGACCAGATGCTTTTAGAAGTCCCGAAAACCTTTTATAAATCCAGAGGAGACAGAGCATTTTAAGCTCTGGCTCCTATATTGTGGAATGAGCTGCCGCTGGAGGTCAGGCAGGCCCCATCACTTTCTGTTTTTAAAACTCGTTTAAAAACACATTTTTGTCCATTGGCATTAACCTAGAGTGAGTCAGCATCTGTGTCTTAATGTTGTATTATTTTATTTGTAATGTTCTGATTATTTTTTTTATATATATTTAGGTGGTTTTATTGTTTTACTGTTTTTTGTTTTTATTTTTGTACAGCACTTCGGATGGCTGCTATGTTGTATTTTAAATGCTTTAGAAATAAATTGGTATGGGATGGGATGGTGCAGGACATGTCTTTTAACCCACACATTAAAAACGTTACTAGAACCACCTTCTTCCACCTGCATAATATTGCTAAAATTAAAAACATCTTATCTAAAAATTCTGCAGAAAAACTGGTTCATGCATTTGTCACGTCTAGACTGGACTATTGCAATGGTTTATTATCTGGGTGTCCAAATACTTCTTTAAAACGTCTTCAGTAATCCAAAATGCTGCTGCTAGAGTCTTAACTAGAGTTAGTAGGAGAGATCATATCTCCAGTTTTAGCTTATCTCCACTTTTTAATAACCTTTGAGTTTACATTAAATGACTACACAGTCACTGAGAGTAAATTTCATCTTAGCAGGTGCTTATCAGAAAACGCTGTAACCAAATTTAAACAATCTCTTCCATCAATGTTTTCTTCTGTTTTGCAGAGTAATGCATCAGAGAACAGTGACTTACATCATCTAGTTGATCATCTTACAACTTCATTGCAAACTTCACTTGATAAAATTGCTCAGCTGAAAAAGAAAGTAATTAATCAAAGGAAACTGGCTCCTTGGTTCAATTCTGAGTTACGTACTTTAGAAGAATAAGAATCAGTTTATTATTGCCATGTCAATGAACGAGGTTCACAAACTAGGAATTTGCTTCGACATAAAGGTGCGAATAATAATAAAGTAAAATAAAGTAAAAATGAAAAACATAACATAAAACATGTGTGCACCCATGCAATAAAAAACAATAAAAAACTTAGAAAACAGTACAGATGGAGTATTCAATTATAATACAGATGTAATGTAGAATCTAGCTGGTTTTTTTGTTATCTTTTTCTTTTAGCCATCTATTTGTAAAAAACTAAACAAAAAAAATTGCAGTATGACTTTTTATAATTGTTTATTGTTGTTGCTGTTGTCCATTGTTGTCATCTTTCTTTGTTGAAATCAGGTCTCTCTTGTAAATGAGTCCTCGAGGCTCAATAGGATTACCTGTCTAAATAAAGGTTGAATGAATGTGACCAAAGCAGAAATTATGAGGTAACATTATGAGTGTTCAGGAGTCCAACAGCAGAGGGGAAGAAACTGTTCTTATGGCGGGAGGTTCTGGTCCGAATGGACCAAAGCCTCCTGCCTGAGGGGAGTGATTCGAACAGTCCGTGTGCAGGGTGAGCAGGGTCAGCTGTGATCCGACCTGCTCGCCTAACAGTCCTGGAGACGTACAGGTCGTGGAGGGATGGAAGGCTGCAGCCGATCACCTTCTCAGCTGAGCGCACAACACGCTGCAGTCTGAGTCTGTCCCTGGCAGTGGCCCCGGCGTACCACACCATGATGGAGGAGCTGAGGATGGACTCGATGATGGCCGTGCAGAACTGCACCATCAGCTTGGCCGGCAGCTTGGACTTCTTCAGCTGTCGCAGGAAGTACAGTCTCTGCTGGGCCTTCTTGATGAGGGAGCTGATGGTCGGCTCGGAGGGAGGGAGCTGTGGCTTTCCTGAAATCCACAATCATCTCCACTGTCTTCCAGGCATTGAGTTCCAGGTTGTTGCTGCTGCACCAGGTCACTGCACCAGCTTTTAAAGCAGGCATCTAGAAACCAGGAGAGAAAATGGTGCTCTACTAATGTTGAAGAATTTTATTTAACTTGGAAAGATAGTCTGCTAAATACAAGAAAGCTCTCCGTAAAGCTAGAACTTTATATTACTCATCTTTAATAGAGGCAGCTGTGGCTGAGTGGTTAAAGCAGTCGTCCTCCAATGCAAGAGTTGGGGGTTCGAATCCACCAGCAGTCACATGCCAAAATGTCCCAGGGCAAGATACTGAACCCCTCATAGCCTCTGATGTGTGTTCCATCGGTGTATGAATGTGATAGAGCACTGATTAACCTCTTTAGAATGATTTGTTCATGTAGCTTTGTAGATCTAGTAGAGTGATGTATGAATGGGTAAATGAGGGCAGAGATTGTAGTGTAAAGCGCTTTGAGTATCTTGATAAGATAGAAAGGTGCTATATACAAACCGGATTCCAAAAAAGTTGGGACACTAAACAAATTGTGAATAAAAACTGAATGCAATGATGTGGAGGTGCCAACATCTAATATTTTATTCAGAATAGAACACAAATCGCAGATCAAAAGTTTAAACGGAGAGAATGTATCATTTTAAGGGAAAAATCTGTTTCCAAATTTCATGGCGTCAACAAATCCCCAAAAAGTTGGGACAAGTCTGTTTTTACCACTGTGTGGCATCCCCCCTTCTTCTTACAACACTCAACAGACGTCTGGGGACAGAGGAGACCAGTTTCTCAAGTTTAGAAATAGGAATGCTCTCCCATTCATGTCTAATACAGGCCTAACTGTTCAATCGTCTTGGGCCTTCTTTGTTGCACCTTCCTCTTTATGATGTGCCAAATGTTCTCTATAGGTGAAAGATCTGGACTGCAGGCTGGCCATTTCAGTACCCGGATCCTTCTCCTACGTAGCCATGATGTTGTGATAGCTGCAGAATGTGGTATGGCATTATCGTGTTGAAAAATGCAGGGTCTTCCCTGAAAGAGATGATGTCTAGATGGGAGCGTATGTTGTTCTAGAACCTGAACATAGTTCTCTGCATTAATGGTGCCTTTCCAGACATGCAAGCTGCCAATGCCACAAGTGCTCATGCAACCCCATACCATCAGTGATGCAGGCTTCTGACCGGAGCGTTGATAACAACTTGGGCTATCCTTGTCTTCTCTGGTCCGGATGACATGGCGTCCCAGTGTTCCATAAAGAACTTCAAAAATTGTGACTCATCTGACCACAGAACAGTCTTCCATTTTGCCACACTCCATTTTAAATGACCCCTGGCCCAGTGCAAACGTCTGAGCTTGTGGAACTTGCTTAGAAATGGCTTCCTCTTTACACTGTAGTTTCAGCTGGCAACGGCGGATGGTACGGTGGATTGTGTTCACTGACGATGCTTTCTGGAAGTATTCCTGAGCCCATTCTGTCATTTCCTTGACAGTGGCATTCCTGTTTGAGGTGCAGTGACGTTTAAGGGCCCGGAGATCACGAGCATCCAGTAAAGTTTTATGGCCTTGAACCTTACGCACAGCGATTGTTCCAGATTCTCTGAATCTTTTGATGATGTTATGCACGATTGATGATGATAACTTAAAAGTCTTTGCTATTTTACGCTGGGTAACACCATTCTGGTATTGCTGCACTATCTTTCTGCGCAACAATGGTGGGATTGGTGAACCTCTTACCATCTTGGCTTCTGAGACACTGACACTCTGAGAAGCTCTTTTTATACCCAATCATGTTGTCAGTTGACCTAATTAGTGTTAATTGGTCTTCCAGCTGTTCATTATATGCTCAATTTCCTTTTGCCAGCCACTTATTGCTACTTGTCCCAACTTTTTGGGGATTTGTTGACACTGTGAAATTTTGAATCAACAATTCCTTTAAAATGTTACATTTATTCAGATTAAACTTTTGATCTGTCATCTATGTTATATTACGAATAAAATATTGACATTTGCCATGTCCACATCATTGCATTCAGTTTTTATTCACAATTTGTTTAGTGTCCCAACTTTTTTGGAATCCGGTTTGTAACTACAGTCCATTTAGCATTTACCATAAGAATAAAAATAACCCTAAGTTTATGTTTAGTACTATTGCTAGACTAATTAGTAGTCCCATTTCTGTTGAACCATGTATCCATACAACTATAAGTAGTGATGACTTCATGAGATTATTTACAAATAAAATTATTTCAATTAGAGAGAAAATTCAAACCATCCTTCCTTCTACTATCCCTAGTCCCCTGTCAAATGAGACAACTTTAAAAATTTCACTAGACCCTGAGTTGTGTCTGGAATGTTTTTGTCCTGTTGGGCTCTCTGAATTGTAAAAAAACTAATAGCCTCATCCAAACCATCCACATGCCTGCTAGATCCCATCACAACCACACTGTTTAAAGAGGTATTCCCCTAATTAATGTCCACATTTGTGATCTACTTAATTTTCCTTTAATGAATGGTTACGTACAGTGGTTAATTTGAGCCGGATCCTGCAGGAACAAGATCTGGGAACTCTCTCATTTTGGCCCATTCTGTTCCGGCAACTCTTTGATCGGATATGGAAGCTCCGCTCCTAAAAGTTCAAAGTCATCCCGCATTTTTATTTTGATTAGTTATTAAGAATACAAGGAGGAGACGTTGCCTTTAGCCCGGTGAACCCAGTCTGTG